GAAAAAAAAAGAATGTCTAAGGACTGTGGAATAACTCAAAAGGTGTAACATATGCACAATGGTAATATCGAGAGAAGTATTTCAAACAAAATGACTAGGAATTTCCTGACTAATGTTAGACACCAAACCACAGATCCAGGGAACTCAGAGAACACGAAGTGGGATAAATGCCAAAAATGAATAATAACTATACTTAAAATTTTCAAACTATGAAAAGCAATAGTAAAGAAAAAATCTGGAAAGAAGCCAGGGGCAAAAAATATCACCTACAAAGAAACAAATATAGGGATTACATCAGAGTTCTTCTGAGAAACTATATCTTATGAAAATTAATCACCTCCTCCCAGGTATCAGCATTGCCAATCAGGTGATTTCAGTGTGTGGATGCCATAATTGACATATAATTTCCCTGCTACTGATGTTGAGACTCACTCTCTCTCTTTTTTTTTTTTTTTTTACAAAATAAGGAGAACCACTTACAGACTTATAGCGTGAACAAAAATGCAGCTCCAACTGAATTTCTGTCACTTCCTAACGTGAAGAATCAGCTACAAACATTTCCCACTAATAAAAGCAAAGCAAAATAAAAATGATCTTAACAAGAAACATGTTACATGTATAAAGTCTAAAGGGAAAGAATATGATGCTGTAAGGGAAAAATACAGAATGGCTCAAATGAGATTGTAGAGTTAGGGTTATTCTTGGAATGAAAGTCACATTAGCCAGCATTTTTAAAAAGTAGTTATCCATGTAAATATGGTACAAAAAGTATTCTAGACAGAAAATACATTAGGATTTCAGGACAGCAACAGCTAGAGCTAGAGAAGACAGTTGGTTTTGAATATATTTGCATATACTTGGGGAAGGAACACAGAGGCATTGAGAAAATTTATAATTATCATTTGTTTCCTATTGTTCTTCTCTCAATCCCCTTTCAAAAGATGTTGTATCATAAATATTTAAGAAAAATTAAACAGACAGGAAATACTTCAGGTGTCATATTAGGAAATGGAAATCTCAAAAAGTAATGTGATTTGTGATGTGCTATATAACAAAGACACAGAACAGATGGATTTAAGGCAAAATTTGATGGAAAAGAAGCTGTTGATCTTTCTTGATAAAACCAGGAAGAACGTATGTTTCCCCTTGTCACACCTAAGTCCAAGTTTTAGCAATTCTTTTTTTTAATATTTGTTTTATATTGGAGTATGTTTGATTAACAGTGTTCTGTTAATTTCAGGTGTACTACAAAGTGATTCAGTTATACACATATGTATATCTATTGCTTTTCAAATTCTTTTCCCATTTAGGCTATTACAGAATATTGAGCAGAGTTCCCTCTGCTATACAGAGGTCTTTGCTGGTAATCCTTTTAAACTGTATTTTAAATGTAGTAGTGTGTATAGGTCAATTCCAAACCCCCCAGTTATTCCTTGCCCCACCTACCTTCCCTCTTTGGTAACCGTAAGTTTGTTTTCTAAGAATGTGAGTATGTTTTTATTTTGTAATTAAGTTTATTTGTATCATTTTTTTTACATTGTGCATATAAGTGATATCCTATGGTATTTGTCTTTCTCTCTTTGACTGACTACACTTACTATGATAATTTCCAGGGTTAGTAAAATGATGTTGAAAATTTTTACAAGACTGACAATTAGTGATGGTAGTTTTATATCTGGATAAATTTAAGATAATATTTTGTATACCATTCAAAGTTCATATTTGCATTGTCATGTGTTCTACAATTGTTCACTTGCTTTCCATTGCTCAGCTTTTATCAAGGTCCATGAAACCTTTATTAATGAACTCTGGTGAACTTTCCCTTATACCATTTGATTTTCTGGGGAAGATTAGATTCTTTTCTCACATATAAGAATGCATAAATGTTCTTCTGAATTACGTTACATTTATACCATATATATTTATATATATATATATATAATATTTTGTATTCCCTATTATTTTACAAAGGAGAAGACTGAAGAAAAAAGAATATAAGCAGTAGTTTCAGTATATACAACTGTCAGACCTAAGGATTAAAAACAGTCTATTTCTCAGTCAAGTATTCTTTTTACCACACATAATCAAATCAACGTCTTTGGTGCAGCACAATTAGAATTCTATTTTATCACCTTTAAAAATAGTTTTCCTTTCAAACCTCCTGCTGAACGAATTCTTCACCTCTTTGTTCCTCAAGCTGTAGATAAGAGGGTTCAACATGGGAGTTAATACCGTGTAAAAGAGGGAAATCACTTTACTGATACCTAGGGAGGAACTTGAGCTAGGTCGAACATAAACGAAGAAAAGAGTCCCATAGAGGATGGAGACAACTGCCAGGTGAGAAGAACAAGTAGAGAAAGCTTTCCTCCTCCCATCGGCAGTCTGGATCCTCAGGATGGCCACCAGAATGCAAACATAGGAGATCATGATGATCAGGCCACTGAGTACACCTATCGCTCCAGCCAAGGTGAAAAGTATACATTTAATCACTGAGGTGTCTGTGCACGCTAGGGAAAGCAGTGGTGAAATGTCACAGAAAAAGTGATTGATAACATTTGGACCACAGAAGGGTAAGCGAAACGTCAGTGTGGTGTGGGTCATAGAGCTTACAAGAGCCACAGCGTAAGGGCCTATACCCAGCTGCACACAGACCCTCTGGGACATAATGAGTGTGTACAACAAGGGCTTGCAGATGGCCGTGTACCGATCATAGGCCATGGAAGCCAGCAGGAAACATTCAGTGGCCACAAAAAAACCAAGGAACCACATCTGTGCAGCACAACCCACGAAAGAGATGCCCTTTCTCTCCACGAAGATATCACACAGCATCTTGGGGGCAACAGAAGACGAGGAACACAGGTCTACAAAGGACAAGTGACTAAGAAAAAAGTACATAGGAGTGTGGAGTCTGGGATCAATCCCTATGAGAGTGATCATCCCCAGGTTACTCCCTAGTGTGACAAGATAGACCAAAAGAAGAATGACAAATAGGGCAATCTGCTGATAGAGATGACCTGTGAGGCCCAAGAAAAGAAATTCAGTCACTGCTGTCTGATTCTTATTTTCCATTGGTCATTTGTAACCTATATAAGAAACAAAAAATACATGGCATTTTTTAAAAAAATAAGCACATATAAAAGTCTTTTAAACTAATTATAGTTTTTTTTCTTTTAATCTATATACATGGCAGTTACAGAAATAGTGTTAGACTAGGTTGACAATGTTTCTAGGGACTAGACCCTGTCACTTGGGCACACATCCCATAAACTTGGGCAAGTTTATACTTGATCTTTTTGGAGTCAGCACTCTCTGCCTTTAACAGTCTAACTGCAATATTGAAAACTCTTGTGGGTTCTAAAATTGTATTTGATATGTGATTCAGTCTTTGTATTTCATTTTTATTGCATGATAGGATAAGAACACTCCCTAAGTATACAGTTACCAGTGATATTGTAAGACACAAAAGAAAATTTAGATCTTGATAACAGACATTGGGATGAGCTAAGTAGAACAGAAATACAAAACACTTTCAGTTCCTCTACTGATGGAATGAATAGTATCATTCGGATATTATGAAGACAACATTCACATCTGTGTATATTAATCTACCCCCTTATGAAAAGAAAGTATTAGAAAGGTATTGTGTACAAATGCCAGAGGGTTATCTAGCATGAAGAATATTATGTTGTAACACATGACAATTATATTTATGCTTATGTAGGGTTTTCTTGAAAATAGAGACTGGATTCGTTTACTCTTTGACAAATCTGAAGATAGGAGTGGCACAAAAAGAAAAAGGATTTAAAATTGAGGTTAGCGTGAAGAAAATTTCACCAACCATATAATTTGAATAATGGAACATAATGCCTCGGGAGAGACTTAGATGCCCTTCTTTCGAGATTAATTAATCTGTCAAACAACACATAGCAACTTTTTATGGAAACTATATAAAAAACACCTGCATTAAGCTCATCTGACTTAATCTCTAGATGATTTCTACTTATAATTTTTATAAATGTATGAGTATATTCTGTTAACCAGAATAATAAGATTATTTCCCAAATTTTATAATATTTAAAAATTTATTTAAGATGTAGATTTTAACAGGTAATGTCTTTGTTATTAAGAAAATGTGTATAATGTCAAATGTTTAAAATTTTTATTTAGCCACAATTTTTGCATGCGTGCATGCTAAGTCATGTCAGTCACATCCAACTCTTTACAACTCCGTGGACTGTAGCTCACCAAACTCCTCTGTCCATCAGATTCTCCAGGCAAGAATACTGGAGTGGGTTGCCACTTCCTCCTCCAAGGGATCTTCCCGAACCAAGGATCAAACCCGCATCTCCTATTATTCTGCTTTGGCAGGGGATTCTTTACCACTAGCACCACCTGGGAAACCCTGACACCATTTTAAGGTAAATATTATTTTTCTGACTCATCAATTGAGGAAGAGGATATCAAGCTGTTATAATTATAGTAAGAAGCCCAAGGTGTGTCAATATCGATAGCAAAGATTCTAGTGTCAAATCATGTGTATAATCAACTCACTTCCCTCTATAAGTAAAACAAAACATACCACATTTTGAAGATATAATAATTAGGATATGGAACATGAAATGCTATGGTATAGAACAATAGCTAAAAAAAGTCTACATCTATATTTTATTTTTATAATTTAAGAAAATATCTATAGAATTCACTTTCACAAGGCAATTGCTTATTAAATGTCAACTAATAATGTCAGTTATTATTTTTAGGAATTTAAACTTGGTTGGGGAGACAGGACTTAGAAAAAAAAGGAAAATTTACATTTCAGAGAGGTCCAAGACAAAACATGCCCTAGGATTTCAGAAGAAGGAAGGGTCACTGAAGTAAGCTGAGGTGGTTGGTGAAATTTCTCATATAAAACAATTCTGAAAGCATAGCTTTCAGGCAATGGTTGTGGATATTTATGGACATTGCAGGCAAGTGCGTGTCATGAGGGTGGGATGCCATACCTGCCACTATTCAGCATGTGAACCTGAACAGGACACATATCTGCTTCTGCAAACAAGGAGAACCATCTCTATGTGCTTTCCATTTCTGGCATCTATGACCTTAGAATTCTTCTTGGACATTATGTTATCTCTAGAATGTTAAAAAAAAAAAAGGACAAGATCAGTTTAAAATGTCAAAAGATTAGTTGCTTAGTGCTCTGAAAAGCTGGACTAAACACCAACGACCACTCTCTTTGGAGTACTTAAGATGGTGAGTTTTATATTCCCTAAAGCCAAGTTCAGTTGAAGTCTTTCCACCATGCTTCAAATTTCCTTTTTATACCCAAACTACGGAATACTCACTTAACTGAAAGAATTATTTTTTTTCCCGTTCACTGCTTCAAGATGAATAGCAAAACCCAGGGGTTTCTGGTTTCCATCATAAAGTCAGTGTGGAGGATTTAATTCCCATTTTGGTGTCAGCTTCTGCAACAAGCATGACACCCTCAACACCTGGTAAGGAAGATAAGTCTTGATGCTGATGAGTCTGCGATCAAGAGAGACACCTTATCCTGAACACTGACTCATGTGCAGCGAAAGTAAGGGATGCATGTTCCTGATAGTTTTAACTGCTCTAAAGCCAGGTCTCTGAAGAATTAACCCTCAGGAGTGTACACCTGAGGGGACAAAATTAAAGCACTATCATTGGATTTTGTGCCAAGGTTATTTCCAACATAATGCCTTTCTCAAATAGAAGATTCCTGGGGGAAAAACAACAACAACCAAAAAAAACTATGTTTTTCCCCCTTTAGATACTCTTTTGTAAAAACAGGCCCTCATTTGCATCCACAGAGAGTGATGAGCTAAAAACTGAGCAACACCGGGGATGAGTAGTGTTCTGCCTGGATCCTGAAGCCTAGGTTCAAACCTCAGCTCCCTGGCTTGTCCCTTTGAGCTAGTGGGGTTTTTGCTTTTTTTTTTTTTTTTTTTTTTTTTCTTGTCTATCTTCTATTTGCTTTTAACTATCTGTGCCTCAGTATCCTTATCTATAAAATGGGGATGATGGATTGCTTGCTCACACTGGAAGAATTAGATGTATTATTACAGGCAAAGCACTTAACAAGATTACATGCACCATAAGCACTCATTAATGCCTAGAAGCAAAGATTCTATGTTTTATAAAAATAATTTCCTGCACGTCATGTTGTTTTGATTAGGTCTTTGATTACTTAAGAATTCCATCTTGGCTAGACTTACAAAAAAAAGACTATGAGAGAAACGCAGTCTTCTAGTTTTACTACATGAAAGTAAGCTTCCCTGTTGGCGCAGACAGTAAAGCATCTGCCTGCAATGCAGGAAACCTGGGCTTCACCCCTGGGCTGGAAAGAGGAGGCAAGGGAATGGCTACCCACTCCAGTATTCTTGCCTGGAGCGTTTCATGGAGCCCGGTTAGGTACAGTAAACAGGTTCACAAGGAGTCGGACATAACTGAGCGACTAACACTTTCAAAGTGAATTTTATACATTTTTTTTGTTAGAAACTTCCATGTAAAATCATTAGAAATACACCAGGTCTTTTCCTACCATATAAGCTTATGGCATTAAGATAGAAATAATAACAGAACAATTTTTCTCACTGTAATAAGGAAAGTCTAAAATTTTGTAATCTTGTCCCTTGACACCAAGTTTTGCAGTGTTAAGTAATGAGCTTTCACATTTTTGATAGAAAAGCTTAAAATCAGAGAGGGGATTCATTTTTTTTTTTCATTGCAATGCTGTTTATAATAGCCAAGACATAGAAGCAACCTACATGTCCATCAGCAAATGAATGAATAAAGAAAATGCAGCACATATATACGATGGAATATTATTCAGCTATTAAAAAGGATGAAATAATGCCAATTGCAACAACATGGATTTGGAGAATCTTATAATAAGTGAAGTAAGTCAGACAAAGACTTACATGATATTGCTTATATGTGTAATCTAAAGAACATGATGCAAATGAACTGATATACAAAACAGAAACAGACCCACAGGCTTAGAAAATGAATTTATGGATACCAGGGTTAAAGGCTGGAGAGACGGATAGATGGGGAGTTTTGGATTGACATGTACACACCGCTATATTTAAAATAGATAATCAATAAGGGCTTACTGTATAGCACAGAAAACTCTGCTCAGTATTCTGTAGTAATCTAATTAAGAGTTTGAAAGTACATGTGTAAATGAATCACTTTGCTGTACGTGTGAAATTAAGACAACACTGTTAATCAACTGTTGGGCATGTGCAGTCACTCAGTTGTGTCAGACTCTGTGACACCATGGACTGCAGCTCGCCAGGCTCCTCTGTCCATGGGTTTTACAAGCAAGAATACTGGAGTGGGCTGCCATTTCCTCCTCCAGGAGATCTTCCTGACCCAGGGATCAAATCCATGTCTCCTGTGTTTCCTGCTTTGGCAGGTAGATTCTTTACCACTGAGCCAGCTAGGGAGCCTGTTAATCAACTGTACTCCAATATAAAGTAAAAATTGAAAATAGTGATAATAAAATGCTTAGAGAAACTTATGGTGTGAAACTTCAAACTACTGAAGGCATAACCATAACTTTGTTTTGAGGGCATAAACCAACCAGTGCTTCTTCAGGGTTCTGTCACCTTCCCAGGAGAAGACCAGGCTTGGCACTTAAGAAATTGGTGGTCATTAACTGCTTGCCTTTGCAATAAAATAACTCACCTCTGAAACTTATTCTTTCTTTATTAGGAAATTAAAGATTTTTTAATTGAAATATAGACTGACCTACAATATTACACTAGTTTCAGATGTATGGCACTTCCCTGGTGGCTCAGCTGGTAAAGAATCCGCCTGCAATGCGAGAGACCTGAGCTCAACCCCTGAGTTGGGACAATCCCCCAGAGAAGGGATAGGCTACCCACTCCAGTATTTTGGCCTGGAGAATGCCATAGACTGTAAAATCAATGGGGTCGCAAAGAGTCAGACAGGACTGAGCAACTTTCACTTCCATTTTCAGATGTATGGCATAGAACATTGATATCTGCCCATATTAAGAAAAATTATCACCATTAAGATATGTCTAGTAACCATCTGGTCCTATACAAAGTTATTACACTATTATTGACCATATTCCTTATGCTCTATATTACCATGACTTTTATATAACTGGAGGTGAGTACCTCAATCCCCTTCACCTATTTTGCCTACTCCTTTCAGCTTCTTTCCTTCTGGCATTTACCCATTTGTTCTCTGTATCTCTGAGTCTATTTTGATATTGCTTTGGTTTGTTCATTTTATTTTTTAGATTCCATGTATAAGTGGGATCATGCAGTATTTCACCTAACATGATACCCTCTAAATCCATTCATATTGTCACAAATGGGCACTTCATCTTTTATGACTGAGTAGTATTTCATCATGTGTGTATATATACATACATATTTACATATCACATCTTCATTCATCTGTTGAAGGGCATGTAGGTTACTTTCATATGTTGACTACTGTAAATAATGCTACAATAAATACCTTTTCAAATTAGAGTTTTTGTTTTCTTCAGGTAAATATCCAGAAGTGAAAATCCTGGATTGTATGACAGTTCTATTTTTAATTATTTGAAAGAATTCCATAGTGTTTCCCAAAGTACAATCTGCAGTAGTTTTCTATCTGCAATGCCACCGACAGTGCACAAGGGTTCCCTTTTTTTTTTCCATTTATTTTTATTAGTTGGAGGCTAATTACTTTACAACATTGCAGTGGTTTTTGTCATACATTGAAATGAATTAGCCATGGATTTACATGTATTCCCCATCCCGGTCCCCCCTCCCACCTCCCTCTCCACCCGATCCCTCTGGGTCTTCCCAGGGCACCAGGCCCGAGCACTTGTCTCATGCATAGGGTTCCCTTTTATCCACATCCTTGCTAGCACTCATTACGTGTCATCTTTTTCACATTAGCCATTTAGATAAATGTGAGGTGATCTCTCATTGTGGCTTTGATTTTCATTTCCCTGGTGAATAGTGAGGTCCAGATTTCTTAACTGAATTGGTCATTAGATTTGTAGCCAGTCTGTACAGGACCATATATGACCTCAAATCTTAAGTGATCTGTTCTTCTTGAAGTTCTTTCTTGAATTCAAGGCGTAAATGAGGACTAAAATTTCTTAGGGAAAGCCATTCCAAAAGGATAGTTTTTTGAAATTCAATTTCCAAATTTTATTGGAAAGTGTTTCCCATCTCATTGTATTAGAAATTCACTGAACCATATATGTAAATAGATTGAGTTAATTCAGATTATTGAAATTATTCAGAAGAAGCAGTAGCAGATTAACTGTTATAAAAATCCAAGCTTTTACCACATTAAACATTAGTGTTCTTGTTCGTTTTATAATATATGCACAAAACTTTGTTTAGGTTTTATAATTGTAACAACTTATCTTAGTAACTTGTTTGACTAGTACCTTCAGCAGATTCTTGGAATGGGTTTCTGGAATCAGACCACTCACCAGACAAATGGAAATGAGAGCCCACTGTTGGTGGAATGAGGCGGTGGTAACCATTAGCGTGCCCTAGCCCAGCAGCTACTGAAACTCACCAGTAGCGAATTGGGGCACAGTACAGTTGAAAATTGTGCTTTGGCTTCTGCAATTTTTTCTAACATGTGAGAACTATCGAGAGCAGTGGTTACTATTGCACAATGAATCTGGCAACTGTGAAAATCCACTAATATGACAAATGATGAGAAAATAGCATTTAGGCCAGGTGATTTCCAACTCAAGGATATAAGAGCAAAGAAGATATTGGGTGACTGTGTTTCCTTAGAAGGCCTGCCTTCCACTAAAGGAATTTTAAAAAGACACTAATGGAAGGGAATCCAGTTTCATGAGAAATTCAGCGGTAGAAGGTTCTGTTATGGATCTAGACTTCTTTTTTTTTCCCAATTATTTTTATTAGTTGGAGGCTAATTACTTTACAATATTGTAGTGGTTTTTGCCATACATTGACATGAATTGGCCATGGATTTACATGGATCTAGACTTCTTAAAGTCAGTGGAAATGATATGATTCCAGGATATTTGAATTGAGAAATTAATGCCTTTACCAAAGATACAAAGGGTGCATAAGAGGTAGTCA